GAATTTCATTACATAAAGAAGACTACTTCTATAATTTTTATAAATAATAATAATTACATTATATGACTGTAAATTTTATAATAAAATAATAATTGAGTATTATATGGTGAAAAATAATTAATGAAATTTTTATTTTTACCTATATCAATGAATAAATATGTATTCTAAAATCAAATAAATATTAGTATGACATGTTAGCGGAATTATATATTAATTAATATGTTAAATTTTTGGCTTAAATAAATGCCACTTATTAAAAGATGTGAAATATGGATGATCCGAGCTTATTGTTTTTTGTCTAGATGTACAAGTCTTATAGAAATAATTGATTTATTATATGTATCACGTGCATCCCACGGGGTATGCACTAATAAATAACCTTAAAATTGTGCACCCCGTGCATCACCCGTGTTCACATTTTGGCCTATTACAGGTCATGTACTATATATATCCCGTACATTTTTTTTATTCATTTGTATAATTATAAGAATGAATAAATGACCTTAAAATTGTGCACCCCGTGCATCGCACGGGCTCTGTACTAGTCTTATATTAGTGTCACACAATGATTTTTTCTTAAGGCGGGTCGGGTCGGGTCGGCAGAATAAATAAGTAATCGCTCCTCTTTTGGGCTCATATATAAGAAATGCAAACTAAAGCCCACGACAGCAAGAAAACAACTCACAGAACCCAACATGCTTCGCAGGTTACCACTTACCATGCACCGACTTGGAATATCCACCGTTGGATCGACTCTGGCTCTTAAGATCGAGCCACCTGTTGTAAAAATCAAGACGTGGTGGATGTTACATGCTAAAAAATGTCTATAAAAACAAGTACTCTGTCCAAGTCACATTTCAAAACTAGGCAATAAAAAAAAAAAGAATAAAATAAAATAAAATAAAACAGCAGCTTTAAAGAAATATAAAAATTTTTATTTTGTTCTTTTTTTTTCTTTTCTTTTAACTTGTTATTTGTTGTGGGAATTAATTAATTGATTAAGAAATTAATATATAAAATAAAGAAAAATATAATATAATATAATATATGGGTGTTGGAGGAACTTTGGAGTACATTACAGAGATGATGAGCAGTGGTCACAAGCACAAAAAGAAGAGGAAACAGTTGCAAACTGTTAATCTCAAAGTCAGAATGGACTGTGATGGCTGTGAGCTTAAAGTCAAGAATGCTTTGTCTTCTTTAACTGGTATGTATGTTTCTATAATAATAATAATAATAATCTCGTTTTCGTTACACAAATTCTTACGTGAGTCAGTCTAACGGTCAGACAAGTCGACTCGTCATATTTAGCCTCAATGTACTATACTCCCTCCGTTACGTTACGATCTGTCGATTTTTTTACTTAATTTTTCTTGACCGATGAGTGTATTAATAATGTTATATATCAATTTAATTTTTTGTTTGGCACGGTAACATTTGGTACGTTGGAGAGTCAAATCATTTGTGGTTGAAATTTTAATTGGACCAAAATTACCCGAGCTAAATTCTTATTGAGACGGTCAGTCTAGCTCAGACTAGTAGACTCAGACTGACTCGTCATACCGTGTGAACTGTTTAGCCTCAATGTACTCAGTTACGTTTTGTGTGTCACCTTTTGAGTTTTGTTTCATACAATGTGTCGATTTTGGACAACCGATCGAGACAATGTGTCAATTCTAAATCAATTTTAATTTTTTCTGTGCGCGGTAGTAGCATTTGTGTTGGAGAATCGAATCATTTGTCGTTGAAATTTGATTCGGAGATTAAAATTTACCCGAAAGGTACGGTTTTGCAGGGGTGAAATCTGTGGAGATAAACCGAAAACAACAAAAAGTGACGGTCACGGGATTTGTGGAGCAAAGCAAGGTATTGAAGAAGGCAAAATCAACGGGTAAAAAGGCCGAAATATGGCCTTACGTGCCTTACAACTTGGTGGCTCAGCCGTATGCGCCTCAGGTGTACGACAAGAAGGCGCCACCTGGCTTTGTTCGGAAAATCGACAGCTCGTCAGCGCAACATACTGCCACCGGACTCACCAAAATCGAGGACCCGTATGTCGAGATGTTCAGCGATGACAATCCGAATGCATGCTCGATCATGTAATTCTTTTAAGAAAAATGGTGAAAAAAAACAAAAGATGTCTTGTTTAAGTATAGTTGTTGCTTGTTAATGTCACTAAATAAGCTAGAAGATTTCTGCATGTGTTGTGTGTCTGTTTTATTGCTTAGTGTTATGACATAATGAATTTTTTAAGGTTTGCAAGAGTTAATAGGCACAACATTCAATTAGATTTTTTTTTTTCGGCATAGATGTTTAATTTTTTTGGGAAATGCTATGACCCTTTACGGAACCATTCTGTTGGGTTTGTAATCGTTAGATCATCTAGTAACCGTCGGAGATAGTTAGCATCTCCCTAATTTTTATAGTTGTTATTATAATTGTTTTGTTTCCGGTTTTAGGGAAAAGGAAGCAATTGAGAATATTGCATATACTTTGAT